GCCCAGGGGGCCCGGATCTAAGAGTTAGAAATCCGGAGGAGAGCAGCTCTCTACTTGGAGGATCATGGGACTTAGTAAGTAAGGTTATAAGTCCCCTAATTGGGGTTATAAGTATAGTTACTTTAGTTATTATAACCCTACTTACTAAGTCCCATGATCCTTTAAGTAGTATTGGTTGCTCGGGGTGATCACACCGTTTCGGTTGCGAGTGCTCGACCTTCGTCTGGGCTGCGAGGTTCGAGCTTCCGGGCTCGCGCGTATGTTGCGGGCTCCCCTGGGGCCCTCGACCCTGACGGCGAAAGTCCAACCCTAAATCCTGCAAGCCCTAGACTTAGACTCTAAGACTCTAAACCCCAAGCTCTAGGCCCCATATATAGAGGGGCCTACATAATTACCTGTATAATGGGCCCCAAACCCAGATGCAATGCAGCCGAGCAAATCCGTGCTAAAGCTTGCAGAAGCTTGAGTTCCTGCGCCTTCAACGCTATGGCCCGTACTCCGGAATCCTAAACCCATCGCCTCAACCCTAAAGCCTAGGCCCTAAAGCCTTCAGCCGAACTGCCCCAAAACCGTCATGCCCTCACAACCCTGGAGTCCTGAACCCCTAAAAACCCTAAACCCTAAACCCTAAACCCTAAACCCTGAACCCTAAACCCTAAACCCTAAACCCTGAACCCTGAACCCTGAACCCTAAACTAAGAACGGTGATCCCCAAGCTTCTGAGCTCTGACTGCTTCCTCGTAAGGCTCTCCTTTTCACCTCCAGCGTTCGCTGCCGGAGGTCCCAGACTGGGGTCCTGCAAAGTGTTCACAGCTCAATCAACCCTAAACCCTGAACTCTAAACCCTATCAATGATAGGTTAGGTTAGAATTAGAGTAGATAGGTTAGTTAGATAGACTTAGATTAAGTCAGATAGAATAGAACCATGGGTTAGATGAGATTACATGAGGGCAGGTTAGGTTAATCTAAAGATCAGCTGAGATTAGGTTCGATGAGATAGATCCACATGTCTGCACACGCTAATGTAGGGCCTTACTATAGTTATACTATAGACGACCCCAAAGCCCTATTGTAATTATTAGGGCCCCTAAACCCTAAACCCCTATAGTAGCCCTTTTAGAACCCTTTAAGGAACCCTGAAAAGGAACCCCCCAAAACCCTATTCCAATTCTTAAGGCCCCTATGTTAGGTAGCTATCGGCCTGGGTGACTTTGGTCACAGTTATCAGACTCAGAGTCTCTGGATCCTCCAAGAGGCTGAGGTTTATAGACCCGAAGCTTCGACCCCGAAGCTTAGAAGGCCCATAAATATAGGGGCCTTAATTGATAATTACCTATACTATTTTTTGGGGTTCCATATTATAACTTTAGTATAGTGGCCTTAATTAATAATTACCTATGCGGTTTTGGGGGTTCCTGATTAGAATTATAGTATAGTGTACCGGAAAACCCTGTTCTAATTATTAAGGCCCCCTACATTAAGCTCAAGCCTTGGTGCAGAACTGGCAGTCGGGGGTTCGCGAAGAGGTTTGGCAGATCTTCAGAGGCAGCTGCGGGACAGTGCTCTGGTGAGCACCATCGTCCGTGCAATGCGGGGTGCGGTGAGGATTTGCGTGGGGCGACCAACTAGGGCTCTCAGAAACCTTCCGAGTCTTCGGTTTCAGCGGTTACCACGGCTTTCATCAAGCTACTAGCATGAATCCTTGAGCCTGTAACCCACTACCTCTCAGGTGCCCTGTGACACCCCCCTAAACCTAAAGCTACCCTGCACCCTGAAACCCAAAACCGGTGCCCTAAGCCCATACCTCTAGTCTCCATTGTAGTTCCTTTTTTTGGTTTAACCAATCATATATTAAGGATTTTATAAGGTATCCCCAAAAAGGAACTACAATGGAGACTACAGGTAAGCCCTGAGCCTTCAAGTCCTGAACCCCAAACCCTGAACCCTGAACCCTGAACCTTAAGCCCTGAACCCTAAACTAAAGCCTAACCTAAACCCTGAACCCAAAACGCTAAACTAAACCCTGAACCCTGAACCCTAAACTAAACCCTAAACCCTAAACCCTGAACCCTAAACCCTAAACCCTGAACCCTAAACCTTAAACCCCAAACCCTACCACCCAAAAAGCGTCCTGAGCAGGATTCCAAAGAAATTGAAGATGGCAGACTCGAAGGCGGATCCGTCATCGGGGTTCCTTTAAAGGGATTCGGATTTCGGATTTATATCGTCTAGGGCGGTTCCAACCCCCCCCCCCCCTTCAGGGTTTAGGGTTTAGGATTTAGGGTTTAGGGTTTAGGGTTTAGGGCTCCGAGAAGGGGCTCCGAGAAGGGCTCCCCTACATTAAGGGCTCCTTTGAGGGTTCCTCTAGCCGGAATTCTTGGTATGGGGTTTTGGGAGGTCTATCGGAGTACGGCTGTGTGGGATCTTTGGAGGGTTACTAGCATGTTGCATAGGGGTCTGGGTAATTGGAGCAAGGTGTTCGGCTATATGATAGTCTTACGCCTTCGGACTATACATGGGCTACGAAGGAATGCTAGTCAAGTCTCTTCGGCTTTCTGGCAGGGCATACATCAACTATTTCCTCAGGCTCCTACAATCGTAGGCTTCAGGGCTTCCGGGGTGGAGATCCAGGGTTTCTCTTTGCGCTTCGGGTTTCAGAGCCCGAAGCCCTAAACCCCCTGTGGTTCATCCGTGACGGCCGTTGGCCGCTTCAGGGCTTTGAGTTTAAGGTTGTGAAGTCTTGGGCTTAAGGAAAAGGGCTGACCCGGAAGGTTCAAAGTACATACTTGGATACTGGTCTTCAGGATCGTAGCAGGTCCTTGGGGCTCTACTTGGTTTTTGGGCCTTCGGTACTTGGACCCTTACGGTTTGGTGGACATTGCTCACGTTCAGGGAGCCCCTAAACCTGACTAAAGCCCTAGACCCGCTGAGGTTTCAGGGTGTTTCAGCGTGTTGAAAGGAAGCGAAAAGCCGGATGCTGGAGATATCTCGAGCTTTAAACGCGTAACTCTTACAGGGTTCTTTAAAGGGTTCCTTAAAGGGCTACTATGAGGGTTTAGGGTTTAGGGGCCATAATAATTAGAGTAGGGCTCCGTAACTCCAAAGTCCGAAGCGCCCGCAGCCGAACGAAGCCCCGGAAATCATCGAGGTAGGTTGGAATGATGGCCTGCTCATCGTGCGCCGCCCTCGGGTCAAAGGGACCACTTATTTGGGTTTTTAGGGCTCTCGAGTTTCATTGGGGGCTTAGGATTTCGAGCTTGCGGTTCATGCTTTCGGGTTCAGGGCTTGCGGCATAAATGGTGCACTCCGAGTGTGGTGTTTGAGCAACTGAAGCGTCGGAGCATACTTCGCATGCACATCTAGTTGCCTGGAGCTGTATGCGAACGGAATGAGACCCCAAACTGTACAAATCTACGTAGTCTTCGGGGCTTAAGGCTTGGCAGGCAAATTTCGGGCGCACAGCTCTCGGTTCTTGGTGCCTTCTGCATGGGCCTCCAGTCTGGGACGAAGGACCCGAACGTGAACATCCGAAGCCTTCACCCTTGACCAAAACTGTAGGGTCCCTAGGTATTCTACATGAGTGTGAATATTCAGAACCTACACGACAAGTAGTAGGTTCCTGGTAGTTTGAGGTAGATCCTACAGTAAGCCCTGAACTTTGTGTGTTTGCAGAACCTACACGAAAAGTAGTAGGCATTTGGTCGTTTAAGGTAGATCCTAAGTGCTAAACTAAACCCTAAACCCTAAACCCTAAACCCTAAACCCTTTCAAGCCGCAAGCCCCGAGGTCCCTCATGTACATGTGCGTGGACATCCAGTACGAGTGGGAGGGCTTCAGCAGCTGCAAGCGACCCATCCACAAGGCCCGAAGTGTAATTATTTCCCATCATACTTAGCTACTACTACTACTACTACTACTCCTCCTCCTACTACTACTACTACTACTACTACTACTCCTTTAAATCTAGGCCCAACACCTAAGAAGCTCTCCCACGCGCGCCAGTGGCTGCTCCTCAGCTACGGCCTGGTTGTCATGTCCCGGGTCGTTCACGTCTCCGGGGCCTTGATGCCAGGATCCCGGCTCAGGCATTGAGGGTGCGGGTGTTGGGCTGAGGGTTTTGGGGCTTTGGGGTGTTAAAAATTTGGTTTGGTTTTACCCTGCACCTATAACCTTCAGCCCGGCCCGCACCCTTCAACGCGGTAGTTCGGTTCTAGGCGTTCCGTGCGAAGCCAGATATCCTCTATCCAGGGCCGCAGGGGCCACCTGCAACCCGAAAACCCTAAACCCTAAACCTAAACCCTAAACCCTAAACCCTAAACCCTAAACCCTAAACCCTAAACCCTAAACCCGAACCGAACAGCCCGAATTTGGGAACCTGGCAACCAAACCTGAAGTCCCGGCACCGAACACCCCCCAAAAACCTCTATCCTCACAGCGAAAAGCCTCAGTCTTGGAGGCCCAAAGCCAGGTTTAGGGTTTAGGGTTTAGGGTTTAGGGTTTAGGGTTTAGGGGCCTGAAACTCCAATTCCAACAGCCTCAGCCAACTTGGCGTTCGACCTAACTAACCAGGCAGGTGGAAAAGAGGTGTCAACAAAAAAAAGGAAACTCTAATTCCTAAACGCCCGAAATCTGAAGCCCTAGATCCTAAGACCCGAAACCCTGAATCTCATCTGCCTGAACCCTTAGACTTAGGTCCCAGAGCTCGCAGAGCGAGAGCGAGTTCATGCGCGGGAACCCGGGGCCAGCTTGGGGTTAAGGGGTTAGGGGTTTGGGGTTTAGGGTTTAGGGTTAGGGGTTCAGGGTTTGGGGTTTAGGGTTAGGGGTTCAGGGTTAGGGGTTCAGGGTTTGGGGTTTAGGGTTAGGGGTTCAGGGTTTGGGGTTTGGGGTTTAGGGGTTGGGGTTTAGGGTTTGGGGTTTAGGGTTTAGGGTTTAGGGATTGGGGTTTAGTTTAGAACTTGGGGTTTGGGGTTTAGGGTTTAGGGTTTCTGCTGAGACCCTTAGGAAACGCTTAGACTTAGGTTCTGACCCCTTCTAACCATAGGGCCTGTACAGAAGTGTACCCAGGGACGTCAAAACCACGAAATGATGGTAGGGTTTAGGGTTTAGGGTCGTTGTTTCTGTGTAGGCTTTTGCAGGGCCTGAGGAGTTTGTGCGGTTTCGAAATAGGGGGGAGGCATTGGGTGTTTGGTGTGATGGGTTGTTGTGAGTGAGTGTCCTCGTTTGAGCAGAGGAAAGACATTTTTTCTCTCTCTCTCTCTCTCCCCCTCTATCTCTATCTCTCTCTCTCTCTCTCTCTCTCTCTCTCTCTCTCTCTCTCTGGAGTGGCATAACTCTAATTTAGTTACTGTCGGTCCCAACTACCAAGCCTCAAGACCCCAAGCGCCGCATACCTAAACCCCTTGACCAGAGAGAGTAATCCACTTCTGCATTGCTCTCCTCCAATTTGTGGGTTTCTGGCTTGTCGGACACTTCTTGAACCTCGCCGTGCCAAGGCTGAACCTGCGTCAGAAGAGCACCGTGGTGCGGCTGCTGCTGTCGCTGATGTGGTTGGTGCGGCTCTCGCGGGGGCCGGTGTTGCGGACAGTAAATCAGGTGTGATGAGACGCTTTGCGAGAGTTGATCCGACATATACGTCCGGCTTCTTGCACTTGCACCATCATTTTTAGGCCTCCATGCCCTAAACCCTGAACCCCTAAACCGTGAACTTTGAACCCTAAACCCTAAACCCTAAACCCTGAACCCTGAACCCTAAACCCTAAACCCGCGGAACCTCGGAACCCCGCAGTGGCCACCTGCAGGTCATCCTCCCCGCCTTTACGATCTGGTCGGTGGTGGGGCAACCCGGGAAAAGGCTGAAGCGGACGCAATATAGTGGCCTTAATAATTAGAACAGGGTTTGGGGGCCCATTATAAGTGGCCTTAATAATTAGAAACAGTAGGGTTTTGGGGCCCCTTATACTATAATCATAATGAAGAACCCCCAGAAGAGTATTGGGGATGTATTGAGGCCCCCCCTAAACCCTAAACCCTAAACCCTAAACCCTAAACCCTAAACCTAAACCCTAAACCCTAAACCCTAAACCCTACATTAGGGCTTAGAGAGTTGAGGGTCTCAGGTCTGGGATGCGGAGCGTCGTTTTTTCCCATAAGGAGGCCTAGCGGGGACTAGACTTCAGACTCTGAGTCGTAGAGCCTCTACGTTAGGGTTTAGGGTTTAGGGTCTAGGGGTTTAGGCATTTAGGGTTTAGGGTTTAGGGGTTTAGGGGTTTAGGCATTTAGGGTCTAGGGGTTTAGGGGTTTAGGGGTTTAGGCATTTAGGGTCTAGGGGTTTAGGGGTTTAGGGGTTTAGGCATT